AGCGATTGGGCTCGTCTGGGCAGCTGGCGCGCCTCAAAGAAGCACCAATTGACGTCGACGTCGAGATGCCGGATAACAACGAGCGGCCTCCTGCCACGCCCAGCAAAATCGGTCGTACCACCAAGGCTGGTGAGAAGAGGGCTAACGTGAAGAAGGGTGGTGAGAAGAAGCCTGGCGAGAAGAAGACAAGCGGCAATAAGCGTAAACGGACAGCCGATGATGAGTTGAGCCCTAATACCCCTAAGCCCCAGCCTCAGCCTCGGTCTTGTCGAGCAGCTAACAATATGCCACCTACCAAGGACACAGAACTAGTTGAGCCCGGTGATGATGACCTGGCCGACCCTGACAATACAGCTAGTGGAAAGGTCAAGAAGTCTACTGGTGGTGCAGGTCGAGGGGGGCGGGGTGGAGGCAGTAGAGGCAATGGAGGCATTAGAGGCAGCAGAGGCAAGGGCCGGTCCTAAATAATAAATTAGTTATGTGGCAGTGCGTAGGGACGGATTTGGGTCGGGTCTGCCTTTAATTTGGTATGAGTTTTTTTGTCTGGCGTCAGTTACGGTGAGATACCCAAACATAACAGTCTAACATGGTTATTACGTTAACTTGTATGCATGCTAAGATGGATTTCTATATCGAATACTCCCTTCTTAGATGCATTATGCTATGGGAATCCACAAAATAGCTGTGCAACACACGTTCCAACAAGCGATGTAATAGCAGAAGACGTTGAGTTGCAGGGAAGATACAGGTTATGTATGCTAACATTGCCTAATCACGTCTAACCTTAACCTAGTTCCATGTAATTTCTGGTAAGGTGGGCGTACGGTGCAGACCGTGGAACTATCCTAAGGAGCTAAGGGAGGGGGGTTTTCGGCATAAGTACCGGTACCTATCCGTAAACCCCCCTATCCCCCTCCCACTCTACTCTTATATAAAAAAAAAACATAGCATAAAGAAAAGTATAGCATAAAATAAAAGACAGTATAAAGAAAAACATAGTATAAAAAGAATATAGCGTAAAGAAAATATAGTATATAAAGAATATAGTAAAAAGATAATATAGAAAAAAGCATAGTATAAAAATAAATATAGTTTAATAAAAAATATAGCAGAGAAAAAAAAAAGAAAAAAAATAGAGTATATAAGTATAGTGTAAAAAGAATTAAAAGATAAAATATATAAAATAAAAAAAATTAAAATATAAATAAAATACAGTATAAAAACAGTAGAGTATAAAAAAAGTATAAAATAAAGATAAATATAAGTTAAAAAGTAAAGTAAAAAAATAAAAGTAAGTATAAATAAAATATTAGTATAAAAAAGTATACTATAAAAAAATGTAGTATAAAGAAAACATTATTATAAAAAAAATAGTATAAAAAAAATATAGCATAAAGAAATATATAGTTATAAAAAAGTTAAATATAAAATAAAATATTATAAAATAAAACATAGTATAGAAAAGTATAAAATATAGTATTAAAAAAAAAGTATAGTATAAAAAAAACATAAAGAAATATATAAAATAGTACTATTAAAAAGGTTAAATATATAAAATAGTAGTATTAAAAAGGTTAAATATAATAAAAATATTATAAAATAAAACATAGTATAAAAAAGTATAAAAGAAAGTATAGTATAAAGAAAAACATAGCATAGAAAGATATAGTATATAAAAAATATAGTAAAAGAAAAAGTATAGTGTAATATAGTAATAAAAACATATTATATATAGAAAAATATAGCATAGAAATAAATATAAGTAATATAAATAAAAGTAAGTATAGTATAAAAAGTATTACATAAAATAGTAGAAAAAAAATATTATATAATAAAAAAATAGTATTAAAAAAGTTAAAAAAATATATAGTAAAGAAAACATAGTAGATAAAAAAGCTATAAAATAGGTAACTTGTCTGTACGCAGCAGCAGCGTCGCGTCCTGGATACGAACGATCGCGCACGAGCAGGATCACGTATCTATGTCACATGATGCTCGTGCGCGAACCTCCGTGCGCGAACATCTAGATATCCCCCTTTTCCTCTGTACGGAGGAAAGACAAGAGCAATAGAACCAGAAACATGTTGCCCTCACCTTACCTACCCTGTACGCTGTGCACACTGTACACCACTCTTACTCTTGCTACTTAAGTGCTCATACTATAAGCAGCTAGCTGTTGGAGCCCATTTAACACTAATTAGTAGTTGATTTGATCAACTGCAAATTAGCAAGAGTGACGACAGAGTACCCACGCTCTGCGAGGTACTTTGTTTTGTTACCTATCCCTTAGGAAGAGTGACGGCAGAGTACCCACACCCTGCGAGGTACTTTGTTTAGTTACCTATCCCTTAGGATAGCAGATTAATCCTTTGCATCGTACAGCAAGCTTTGCTACCGTACGAAGTAAAGAGGAGATAGTGCGAGACGCACACCAAAGC